GAGCTTTTCCTCGATCAAAAGAACAACCAACCACATTCTATGGTTCTTCCCTTGCTTCCTCCACCATGAGTTGAAAGGCTCGCCCTTTGGACTTTGGGGCTTCAACTCCGCCTTGTTTTCTGTCGGTTATCCATAATGTTGCAGGTGCAGGAGCTTGTATTGCTCCTGTGGGGTTCAGAAGAGGGCAGTTGGCCTTGATGTGGCCCATCTGATTGCAGTGGAAGCAGATACGCACTCCCTATGCTCCTTTCTTATAGTTTCGGCTGTAGTGTCCCTCCTTGCCGCAATTGTAGCATATTACAGAATGACAAATCTCTTCATGTGATTTTCCACACTTATCACACCTTGGACATTTCTGTCCTCCAAACCATTAATTTGTGTGCTTGGATCTTTTGGCTGTTGGCTGGGATGGAGCTGGAGTCTGCCTCTTTTCCCTTGTTTGGGTTTCCAACTGAATCTCTCTTCTCCTGGCATGTTCCTACATCTCTAATAAAGTCTTGTATCGATTATTCGATATAAACTCCCTGATCTCAGTCTTGAGCATACTCAAGTACCGAGACAACTGCACCAGTTCTGAGGATGCATACTCTGGGTAAAATAGGGCCCTCTCCGTGAACATTTTGGTGATCTCTGTCACCGACTCTGTTGTTTGCTTGAGTGATAAGTATTACGGATCTAGTTGCTCCCTCTCTACAAGGTTAACATACTCTTCCCTAAACTTCTTCACAAACTTTTCCCATGACATTGCGCTCTTCTCAGCAGGTGAATAGTCCTTCGTGATAAAATTCCACCAGTCTTTCGCCCCATGGCGGAAAAGATTATGCGCATACCTAAAATTTAGATTGGCTGGGCAAGCACAAGTATAGAATCATTATTCTACATTAGAGATCCATCTCACTGCAACGATTGGATCCCTGACACCTTCAAACTCCGAGGGTTTTGTGTTATTCAACTCCCTATAGGGCATCTCCTTCTCCCTAGGTGAGACTGCGGCAACAACGACAACAGTTGCTGCTACGGCGGTGTTGCTAGCTACGGCGGCATACCGTTCGTCAAACATGGCGATTAGTTCGGTCTAGATAGATTTGAACATCTCCGGAATCATTTCCCTTACAGTGGCTCATACTGCTGCTTTTATCCAGTCGAGAATGTCAGTCTCGCTTGTTCCTAATCCGTGTGATCCAGAACCCGATCCGCTTCCCCTCATGATCATTACCATTCTGTAGATATAGATAGGTCTAGATTAATACGAATCTATGAATTATTTCGTATTAACGATCAGTCCTCTCCAACTTCTTAGTAACCTTGCGATTCTTCTTGATCCAAGTATGAACCCTGTACTTCCGGTAGTATGAGCCCTTATACTAGTTTCCATACCTACTCATACTTATTCCAAGAATTGTCCTAATGTTTCTAAGTCGCTACACTCTCCTACAGACATGCGTTCTTTTTACACACACAATGTTCAAGGGTTTAACTACTCTCTTTTCTAGACATTGCTAGGATCTTACGTTTCTACCGACGTTATATTATATGTCTTTATTAGGTACATATATACTTCCTAGACTCTCCATCTAGGATTCATTTCCACTTTTCTCTACTATTAGCCAAGGAAGAACTTCCACTAATATTAACTAATTATTAGATGAATACGATTGCCTGCCTCTAAAATTAAAAAGTCTATCGACTGAAAGATCTGACACTACGACGATTAGACTCAGACAAGAGCTGCATAATAGCACCGAATCAGGCAATCTAAAACTATTTAATTCTAGGAGCATGCAACCTAACGTATTTGTCAAATAACTAATTAATATCAATATAGGTTTTAAGCAACAATTAACAAGCAAATCTCTAGGCTATAAGACATCTAACTTATCAGGCAATTATATTTAGCAATTCTTGAAAAGATTCCTAGCCTACATACTAACATGCATTTCTAACATTTCACATATCAGTAATCGTAACAATATAGATATTTTGGGAATCACTTTCCTTTCTGAGCTTTGGCTGACTGTACGCATCGCATTCTTTTCTTTTGAATAAGTTATTTTTCTTAAAAGATTTGTTAAGATATTCAGATCCTCAGTTTGATTCTTGAATCACATGAATGTTCATCCAGTTCGCTCAAACCAGGACTCTGAATATTCATTTATATTAGTTCTAATGTGAGTTAGAATTGATTAACTAATATGTAATCAATCAAAGTAAATCGGATGAACACATCGTGTAAATAAGATCTGATTGGCTCGTATTAGTCTATAAAGAATACAAGAAGTTGAGAGTATTTACAATTTTGAAAAGCAGAAAAGTGACTCTCGACTCTAATACTTACCCTATTTATAGGGTATTACAGACACAATAAAAAATACAAGGACTATACATTCTAGCATCAAATTCGAAATGTGCCTTTTAAATACATATAGAGTCGAAATTACTTGGATTTCGAACCCTTACAGACTCATTCGACTCCTCACTATCTACATTTCAACTCCTACAATCTCCCCCTTAGTGAGAGTAGTCGAAATTATGCCATAAGCTTCAATGTATATAGAAGTACAATCCGAACCTCCATATACCACAAAATCATCTTTCGAATCTCTGACTTGTCTTCAACTTCATTTCTCTTGCAGTTGTTTATGCGTACAAGGAGATTGAAATATTGAGCATTCGTATACCTTTCTAAATCACTAACTTGAAATAATAATTTTTTCAACCTCCCATTATTGTTCTTCCCACGAAATACCACTCCAAGTGGTTGATGTATTATTTCCCCATCTTCATACTTGTCGATATTGTTCTTCCCCTTCAACAAAGATTGAGGAACTTCCGAAGGCTTATTGATAGCTAAAGCAAGCTCAATATCTGTAATTGCAAGGAAATCATAATAGTTGTCAATGAAAACCTTGATATGAGCAAAACCAATGATGAAGTCATCCTTGTTGGTTTCAGTAAGCTTTGAAACATCCACATTACTTAAAATCATTGTCACAGTGACCATGTCATTTAAGTTCATCAGTGGTAAATCTGTAATCGAGAATTCACAAACAACATTGTCTGCTCTTAAGACCACCTAACAAAAATTTTGCAGAAGACCTTTAAACAAGTTTTCTCGCATAAAAGTCATCACTTTCACAATCTTCACTTATGACCATACTTCTTCTCCGTTTTTCTCCAAGACTGCATGAAAACATATCTTCAGTCTTTTGAACTCTTCTTTATCATTGAAGTTTTCAACGATCTTGAACTGAGAAGATGTGAGCAACATGCGATTTATTGGGAAGTCAAGCTGATTGAAATCAGTGTGCTCAATATCATAACTCTTCTTAGGCACCTTGCGAAAATAGTCATCCAGCCCAATCGAGACAATATCCTCAATTATTTCATAACACCTATGCTTGTTGGATCACCCTTGTTCAAGCCAGGTGGGTCATTTTGTCTTTGCCTCATCATGTTGTTAATTTGCCTTTCCTTTTCGATTTCTAGAGCTTGTTGCCTTTTCTTCTTTTCTTCTGAAGGAACCACTGAGATAGCTTTTCCTTTATTACTTTGATCATCTTTCGAAGTTGGTGGCACATAACTCAAACTTGAACATCCAACTCCTTTTTTTCTAGTGATCCCTTTTTTCATTGGTCTTGTTGTTGTTGTTGTAGAAGTTGTGGTCAGTGAAATGGGAAATGAAGTCGGTATTTGAGTCGAAATCACTTTTCCAACAACAGATCATTTCTCATAATCTTTTGAAGAACCAACACCTCCACATCATTTATCTCCCCCTTGTGACACTTGCAAAACACGTGGAACATTTGTTGGTAATAGAAGAACCAAATCAAGGGTGGGAGCAAGATTTGCTTCGCTATTAGTCTCAATGTTCGAAATCAATTGAGAAATTGACTCCTGAGAAACTGATGAATGATTCGAACGATCAGTTTTCAAAATTGACTCCTTGATACTGGATAAGAATTCTTCCAGCTTTACGAACACCTAAGAATCCTTCTCCGTCTTGGCTTCAAGATTGTTCAAAGAGTCAGTATTAAAATCAGCCAACTTTTTTCTAGCAATTGCAACAACATCAACTTTGTTATGCAACACAGTGTAATTTTTCTCCATCTTTTCAACCTCTTTGGCCATCTCTGATTTGATTTCAGGAACCTTAAGATCCATAGACTCTTTCATCTTCTTCACTTGGTCAATAAAAATATCATGAAGTTCCTTTGTAACATCACGAAGCTTTTGAATTTCGTAATCAAAGCTTTTGGGATGAACAACCAACCATTCGAATTGTTTCTGTTTAAGGCTTTCAACCAGGCTTCGAAAACGATTCACCTGAGATTTCAAAAATTACTCCATCTCTACCCCAGTCATGAAATTCCTTCCCCCAGTATCTACTTGTAATTGAAGAAGAGAATTGATTTTGTTGTTGAGAATTTTGATTTTTTTACCCGGCATGATCATGTTATCAAGTACATTATCCTCCTCAGGATCGAACTGAAGATTAACAAAAGACACCATGATCTCATCATCATTTGGTTCGTCTTCTTGAATCACTCTCTCAGCTTCAGTGGATTAAGAAGAAAAGAGAGTAGTAGTTGGTTCATGCATGATCGTGGAGTATGTTGGTGAAATGGTTGAAGCTGGTAGTGAAGTCGGTATGGGTGATAAAAGTGGTGGTAAAGAAGTGAATGTTTCAAATGAAAGAGTTTCGAGGGTAGATGAGATAATGGTTGAAGTGGGAATGGTTGATGTTCCAATAGTAGAAGTAATATAGGCCTCTTTGTTCTGCATCCCTTCACCTATGTTGAAATTTGTGTCCTTATCAGATAAGTCCACAGGGATATCTGGAGTGCGAACCTCCTACGTATAGGACTCAGTATGCGAAACCCAGGTGGTATGTACGTAGTATTCTCAGGGATGCATTTCGTTGTTTGATCCTTCAAATTTATGTTTGTATCCGTATTAGATACGTTTAAAGTGACATCAGGATCTCCTGTCTCCTCGAAATTTTACTTGAGAGAAGAATCCCTTCGAGGTGACTCATGCCTAGAATAATCATTTTGAATATCCAATCTTCCACTGTCACTATCGTTATCAGCTTCGATAGTGACTTGGTCAAGTGGATCTTGGTGCTTACTTTTCTTTTTTTGCAATTTCTGAGCCATATCCAATGCTTGTAGTTTCTTCGAAGTTGGAACGACAGGAACATGCACTTCTCTAAACAATACACCTCTCCTGTTGAACTGAGGCTTTCTAATCTTCTTGATACCCTTCTGTGATGAATGAGTATGCGAAGAATCAACCTGTGTTTGCTTAGTTGTCTCGATTTCAGATTCTTGAACAGATGACCTGACTGAAGAATCATGAGGTCTCTTGGCTGGTTTCTTGGTATGCTTGAGAATGCCAGTTTTCGAAAGAATAATTTCTTTAGAAACCTCATCCACCACAGTTGGTGGTTTCTCAGTTTGCTTTTTCTTTTTTGGTACTTTAGCAGCTTTCGAAGAACCCTCAGCCCCTTTCGATGGAAGAACCCCGATAGAAACAGTTGAATCAATTGACACCAAGTATTGTACAAGAAGTGAATTTTGAAGATCAACACGCCTTAGCATCGCATCGGGAATACAAGCATCAGTAGGAAATATGGTTGGATCATCAACAAAAATTCATGGAGCAGCCATAGTGGAAAACTCAACAGTTTCGACACCAGCAGGAACCAAAATCCATTCTTATTGATACACCTCCAGCAGAATCAAACTCCAGTAATGAGCACACAAAACTCCATTTGTCAAATTGGTGTGAGTAATTGTTGTACCAAATTCTTCACAGAGATGTGTGGTATAATCCACATATAGACCATAGTAAATCCCAACAATAATAGAATAGATTTCCAATTTGGCTTTGTAACCCTGAACTTCGACCAGTCAAGCATCGTAATACTATTCCAAATAGAAAACTCTAAATGCAGGGTAGACTCGACTTTTTAAATTGAATGATTCCAGTCAGAACTAGTTGATGCCCCATCTTGAAACATCCCAAAAATACGGTCCAAAATTTTCGTTTTAAAATCATTTAAGAAAACCATAATTCATCAACATCATAATAAAATCACAAGTCATGTATCCCCAAAACATCATATCAAAATACTGTATCAAAACAATGTGTCAAAACATCAGAGTCTAAAACGTCCCAGTCTGAAAGTTATGGTGTGTGCCATGCAGTCATGCCGAGCTCTTCCCCTTACTCGCGGAAGTACCTGAAACCAAAACTGAAAACTGTAAGCATGAAACTTAGTGAGTCTCACCAAACTACCACATACCATACACATAATCACATAATAACATACATTGGGCCTTGCCTGCTACATCGGGCCCGCCCGGCATCAGACTGAAGTCCGGCATCGGGCCTCGCCTGGCATCGAACCGAATTCTGGTATACATATATCATATCAACAAGCATATAACATAAACACATAACATAAACATATAAACGTTCCTCGGGCTTGCCCCGGCATCGGACCGAAGCCCAGAACACATAACACATAACATATAAGCTAAACATTCCTCGGGCTTGCCCCGGCATCGGACCGAAATCCGGAACATAAAAACAAACACATGCAAGAATCACAAAGACATCAAGCATACAAACATTCCTCGGGCTTGCCCCGGCATCAGAACGAAGTCCAGAAACATATAGACTACATCGGGCTAACCCCAACATTTCTAACATACATAAACGGGTCGGCCTTGGTGCCTTAGACCCGTTCCTACTGGAAGAGGACTTACCTCTCAAGTTGGCTGCTGAAATCTTGTCACACCCCAAAACCGGAACGGCAGAAACGTTCGGGGGTGGAGGACGTCATGTTTAGTATCACAACAATGCAAAGTAGTAAACAAGCAACAACATCATCCATTGCATTAATAATATAATTTCATACAAGTGTGTTCTGACAAGTTATATAGACACCAAAAATATACATCAAAATAAAAGATGACTCTTGAACGAGCTCCATCTTCTCAAACCCTGGCACTGGTACCTGTCTACTGATGACCTGAGAATACAAGTTATTTTGAAAGAGTTTATCAGCTTTAAA